AAGCAGAGCGGAAGCAGTGATATATTATGGAAGTATATAATTCATCTCGTGATAAAGGAACTCTTTCCTGGCAATAGTAATCCCTTGAAAGAGTTATCAAATGGATTTTACATGACTACCTGCAACAACTTAAGGAGCTCTGATAGCGTAGTGGTTACGAATCGGGCTGTGAACCTTAAGGTCAGCAATTCAAAACTACCAGCGGCTCCGTGGGAGAAAGATGAGGCTTTCTGCTCCCGTAAAGATTTACAGCCTTGGAAACCCTGTACAGGGTTGCTATGGGTCAGAACCGACTGAATGGCACTTAACAACAACAACAACCTGCAGCAACTATTGTGAGTATGGTTCAGGACCAGGCATAGGTTGTTTGTCGGTACCTAACAAGTCCTAGTGTGGTGCTGCAGATGAGTACTGGACCTCAAGGTCAGTTTGAACCGCAAGGTCAGCAGTTCAAACTCACCAGCCACTCCTTGGAAAGCCTGTACAGGGTCGCTATGAGTTGGAACCGACTCAGTGGCACTTAACAACAACAACAACATGGGGACAGAGTGGCTGCAACAATGGCTCAAACATGATGAGGAGGAGGAGGATGGTGCAGACTCGGGGAGTGTTTAGTTCTGCTGCGCACATATAGGGTCACTAGGAGTTGGTGCTAATGCTACGGCTCGTAACCACAGCCACATGTTCTTGTTGTTAAGTGCTGTTGAGTTAGTTCTGACTCATGTTGTTGTTGTTGTTAAGTGCCATGGAGTTGGCTCCAACCCATAGTGACCCTGTACAGGGTTTCCAAGGCTGTAAATCTTTACGGGAGCAGAAAGCCTCATCTTTCTCCCGTGGAGCGGCTGGTAGTTTTGAACTGCTTACCTTAAGGTTCACAGCCTGATTCATAACCACTATGCTACCAACAACATGGGGGCATCCAAAAGAATAAAACCTATGGATTTCATAGGTTTAATATTTCAACCTTCTTTAAGAGCTGGACGGATCCCTGGTGGTGCAGTGGGTTACACATTGGGCTGCTAACTGAAAGGTCGGCAGTTCAAACCCACCAGCTGATCCACATGAGACAGATGAGGAAGTCTGCTTCCATAAAGATTGGCAGCCTTGGAAAGCCTATGGCAGCGCTAGTCTGCCCTACTAGGAGTCAGTATTGACTTGTGAACGTTGGGGAGTAGGATACAGCCCAGGGCTTCAACAAGAAATTTTAGCATTCGTGATGGCAGTTATCAAGGGAATCAAGGTAGTAACTGATTCCAGGGGGCATTCTCAAGTATGAGTGGTTTCAAGAGCTATGGGTCTCAACCATATCTGTGCATTGGAATCACCTGGGGAGGTTTAACCTAAACTAATGACTGGTCCCCACTCTGAGATGTAGCTTTAATTGTACAGAATGTCTCCTGAAGTTGACTCCATCACTCATTGGACTTCTAAGAATGCATCCTGGATGTTGGGATTTTTAAAAGCTCCCCAAGTGTTTCTGATGTGCTGGCCTTGGTTGAGAACCACTGTCCTAGAGGGATGAATAACTATCATAGCACTTTGACCCTTTACCTGAAGTGGGATTCCATGTCCCAGAGCTGCCTGCATGGGCTGAGCACAGATAACTAACTGGTGGTTGAAATCCCTAACACATGCGAGATAGTCTGAGATTGACCAAAGTTAACGCCTTAGGCCATCTAAGGGCAGAGTTGACCTCACTTGGAAATCTTGAGACCTGACTTCCCAACAGGGGAGGCTGCAAAGTTCTCAACAAGAACTTTGAATCTATTGAAGACCTTAGACAAATACAAAGTTGAGAGTCTGTGGTTCTGTACAATAAGGCACAGATTTTGTTTTGTAATATTCAAAGCCAGTTGTTAGCATGTGAATGCTTTACCTTTTTAAATCTCTTAAAGGGAAAAACAAAACAAAAACCTGAGCAGAATCTGTGTCTGATTTTAAATAAGCTTTCATTCCTTGGTGCTCAACAAGTACTTTCAATACTTGCAGTATCAGCATCACCTGGTAACTTGTTTGAAATGCAGATCCTAAGCCCCCACCTTGACCTGCTGATTCAGAAACTCTGAAAGTGAAGCCCAGCAGTTTATAGTTTAACAAGTCTCCAGGTGATTCTAATGCACTTCGAGGTTTGAGAACCACTGATTTCAACTGTCAGGGTGACTGTTCGCTCGCCGAAATGCTAGTGGTTGTATGATGATTAGGAGCCTGGGATTTCTGCATGTATGTGTTTCCTAAACATTGCAGGAAGGCTTTCTTGGTGTTTTGCGATGAGATTAGTTGTGCTTAGAATTTACTTGATTCTCCTGAAGTATCCTAAAATTTGTTATAGAAGAAAGAAAGAATTGATAATGCACAACTTTACATTACAATTGGAAGTCTCCAACTTGGAGGAGAAAAATAGGTTTCCATTTATGAAGAAAAAAAAAGTTTCCAGGATGATTGTCGAGGTTAAATATTTTGAGGACTATTTCAGAATGAGTTCTAAGTAATTTTCAAAACAAGAGATTGTGTTAAGAAACTCTTGTTGGCTTTGGGGACTTTAAGACAATTTGGAGTCATTGGAAGACCATGGTTGTGGTGGTTTTGTACCGTGGAGTTGGTTCCAAATCATGGCAAGCCTGTAAAGGGTTTCTGAGGCTGGAAATCTTTACGGGAGCAGAAAGCCTCATTTTTCTCCCGTGGAACAGCTGGTAGTTTTGAACTGCTGACCTTGAGGTTTGCAGCCTGATTCGTAACCACTACTCTACCAGAGGTCCTTTTAGAAGACCATAGGCTCTAGAAAATGTCACTCACCTACTTAATAAAAAGGGCAGAGTTACATCTGGTACAGAAAGGAAAGGAGGGAAACCTGGGAGATGGTAAGGCAGAATTGGGATGAGTCAGGGGTGCTGGCAACTCGACTCATCCTCAGCAAGTGTGAGCAGTATGGCACCTAGGATTCACTCAAGACCACTCTAGAGTCTGACCATCACCCATAGATTCCCAGAGAGGCCAGGCATGGAACACAGCCAAGCCGGATGGGAAAGGAGGGCTTGGGGAGCAGGTGCTGAGAAAGAGCCCTTGCAAGATAGCAAGCTAATCTCAAGCCCAATCTCTGTTCCAATGTATGTACATCTTAACCAGCTCTTCTCATATTGCCAGCCAAACATCGCCATTGTTCCAACATGTAATGTCAATCCTGCCCCTAAAGGAAAGAGAAGGCGGAATGAGCAGAATTTGTAGTTTTGCAAGCTCTCTAACTTAATGTATATAAAGGATGAAAACACATTAGGGGATTATAGGATTTGGCAAGGATGTTGCATCATGTGTCATCTTCATTTTTTCCCAGTGTCATTGTGTAATTGCAAAAGGGGTTCTAGTCACCTGCCACTAAATCAGCCAATACTCAGAGGCAGGACTCAAAGCAAAGAGCAAAGTGTTTATTGGTATCACTACTATGAAGACAAGGGAGTAGGAATCCCAGATCTGCCTCCCTGACTGGAGAGCAGCCTGGGGTTTTAAGGGGAAAGAAAATCAAGATCACTGAACTTGTGGTCAGGCATTGTTGTATTGTGTTTCAATTTCAGTAATTAGGGTGATTGTGTCAGTAGTTCAACATGGTTGCCTCCAGGACATAGTGACTGTTTCAGCCGCTCCTGTTTGCTTATTTCACCTTTGTTCCCTGGATGCAGGAGTGGCTGTTCCCTCTCATTTGGAATACAAAATATGCTTTGGAGACTGAAAGAGTGATTGAATGTAGCTAGAGAGGGTGTTAAATTTTAATTCTACCCATTGTTCTAAGATGACTATTACAGTTCGGTTTTACCTTAGTCTAAACTTAAACCTGCTAGGTGCCCCATTTCTCAGTGCCTGTATTTCAGTTGATTGGCTAACATTATTATGGTCCTCTGTTGGGTGTGTAAAAATGATCCTCTTTCCACTGTAACCAACGATTCACAGCACCAGTCTGTGACTCACACCTAGAGAACAGAGATGACAGAGAAACCTTCCCATTTTCCAGAAGAGATGTTTGATCCATATTTTTCTTGCTTGGAATGATGGAATTTCCCTTCTGGTCTGGCTGGAACCTAACTTTCTTCTGGAGGGTCTGTGTCAGATGTCTTCAAATAGGCGTGGGGTTTGACGTATCAGGAAAGTGACTGTGAGCCATGGGGAATTCTGGGATATATCGTTGCTGCCGACCTTTCCAACAGAGGAACCATGATCTGACCTACATCCAGGGATGGGCTAAATCCAAATCAGAAATGCCTCGGCCTTTAACTTCCTAACTGTAAGACCTAGGGCAAGAGCTTGTCTCTTAAAAGAGTTCTGACTTATTCTCGGCAAAGCCTCTACTAACTCAGAGCTATCACCCAATAAGCAAGGTAAGCATGAGCTTACTTGTGCTGGTTACTAATCTATAGTGAACAGTTTCACATGTTTTTCACCATAGTAAGTAAGCACAGGTAGTATAAAACTGTTCACTACAGATTAGTAATTACAAGTAAGCCTATGCTTACCTTTGTTGTTGTTAAGTGCCATCAACTTGGTACTGACTCATAGTAACACTGTGCTTACTTACTTACTGAATATTCCACCCACATCAGCTCTGGTAATATAGTGGTTACGAGCTGGACTGCTAACCTCAAGGTCAGCAGTTCGAAACTACCACGGGAGAAAGATGAGACTTTTTGCTCCCGGAAAGATTTACAGTCTTGGAAACCCTATGCAGGGTCACTATGAGTCAGAACCAATTCCATGGCACATAGCCACCGCCACCACCCACACAGGGGCATGCATAGTCAAGGTTTGGGCAGTAGGAACTTGTGACAAACAGGCAGAGTCTCCTCATTGTCCCTCACCACTGGCCTGCCTGGGACAGCTGGGTGGGCCTCCCAGTTCACAGAGGTCAGAGCGTTTCAGTGGGCTGCTTCTGGGCTTCAAAAGGCTGGCTGCATCCAGGAAGGGCTCTGCCCAGAACGTCCTGATCTTCCACCCTGTCCCTGCCCTCTTCCTTCTAGATCACACGACAACAATACCAGAATGCACTCACCGCCTGCCACATGGACAGCTCACCCCAGTCCCCCGACATGGAGGCCTTCACTGTGGGGGACTCCACCAAGACCCCAACTACCCAGGGCACACCCCAGACCCCCAAGGACGACGCTGCCATCTCCCTCCTGAACGACAAGAACAGCCTGCCATGTAAGTCACTTGGGCAGTGGGCTGAGCCCCAGGTTTTCTCCAACACAGAGAGGTGATATATTTGCTGTCCTCCCCAGGCAGCCGCTCTGATGGGCTGAGAGGCACCCGTGAGGTAGTGTACCTGAGGATGGAGGAGATGGCCTTCGCCCAGGAGGAAGTGGCCCACTTTGAGGAACAAGGCACGCAGCAACTCTCGCTGTCTCCCACGGCTGTTCCCCCAAGAGCAGGTCAGGGAGGGCAGGCCGTCTTGGGAAACACAACGGATCACCTTGCTTGGGCACTGGGATAGGATGGGCACTGGGATAGGAAGGGATTGCCACACTTGGGCAGTGGGAGGGACGGGATATCTGCGCTTGGGCACTGGGATGGGAAGGGAGAGCTGGGCACAGGGAGCCGTGGGAGGCCGGTGCTGTGGACAACTCCCCACTTCTTCCACAACCAGGGAAGGTAAAGTCACTTTATGGAGCATCAGGCCCCACTGTTAATCATTTCTTCAGGAAGACAGTGTGCATGGCAGTGTCTGGTGCTAGGTTTCCGCCTGGAGTCTCGTTTTCAGGCTCTTTCATTTGTAAGCTACACAATTTTAAGCAATTGACTTACCCTGACACTCAGTTCCCTTCTGTTCCCCACTTCTCCATGTAGATCTGCATACATCGTATACATATGATGGGGCCTAGCTCATGAGGCCACGGTCTATAGAAATGAGATAACATATATAAAAGTCACATCTTTTAAGGACACTGCTTGGCGCTGGGCACCATAAATGCTAGGAGTTAGTAGAGCTCGTTTACAGTTAGAAAACAGTCTGAGTCGGTCGCTACTCAGACTAGCAGGGCTCTGACTTCTTTGAGCCCCAGAGAACATGGGGAGTCAGTGGCACTTGTCTGTAGTCTCTGAGGCATTGAATACGTCAGTCTTGACAATGATAACAGTGATAATGCTCCAAGCCCCCAGTGTCCCCCCAGTTCTGAGATTCTTCTGTGATTGCCTCAGTAAGATATACAAGGGGTGTCAGAAAGTTCATGGAAAAATTCGTTCTCTTTTTATTCCATTTTTCCACAAACTTTTTGAAGTCGCCTCATACTTGGCACACTGAGTCCTTGCCCTGAAGTATCCATTGAATCTGACAAGCTATTACCTTACAAGGTACTATTCTCTTCCTGATTTTATAGATGAAGAAGCTTGACTAGAAACACTGACCTAAGGTCATATGGCTAGTAAGTGGCAGAACCAAGATTCAAATGTAGGTCTCTTCTTCTCCAGGGTTTGCCCCTAAACTCCGTGTACTTTAGAGAAAATTGTAGGTCATCAGAGGCTAAGGCTCCAGGAAGAAGGGAGGTCAGAAACTAGTTGGGTGGTACCTGACCTCCCAGACCTATCACAGTCCGTAAGGCAAGTCCAGAGCAGAGACATGACAGGTGTGCATGCATTTTTAAGGTCAGACAATCCGGGACACACATAGTCATTGTTACAGCGTCTGAACTTGGAAATGATATTCTTTTTCACTAGCATAAGCCAAATTTAGCAGGCAAAGTATCTAGCCAGAAAATGTATCAAAGGAATAAGAATAGAGGAGATGGGTAGTCTTTAGAGATGTCTATGGCACATGAGTCCTGGTGTGGCGCTGTGGATTAATGTGCTGGACTGCAAGGTTGGTGGTTCCAGGTTACCTCAGTCACACTATACAGGGTCACTGTGAGTCAGAACCAACTCAATAGCACTTAACAACGTGGCACATGGTGACCCTAAGGCCTGGTGAAGGGAAAGGACTTGCCCAAGCCTGTAGACTGCATTAGAACCCAGACTTTTGGCACAATGCAGTTTCCACGACATCACTTTGCCCCTCTGGTTACATGCCTGTGTATTGCAAAGTCAGTAAAAACTTGGACTCCAAACCCAGCTCTGAGATTCTGTGGCTCTCTTAAGTTCTCGGGAAGAAGGCAGGGGCCTGTGTCTTACTATTGAGCCCTATGGTTTTCCAATGTTGCCGTAAATAGAGGAGGCGATATCACCACCTGTCCTTAAGTGTGTTTTCTGTCTTTCTGCCAAGGATCTGGGTGGGGAACAGATTGTTCTTGTCCTCTTTCTCTTACCAACAGAGTTTGAGGAGAGGGAGTTAGTTCTGGTTGGACCCCCGCTCCTGTTCTCCATGTGTTTGCTCTTTGTTTGCACTAACATGTTCTATTAATTAATTAGAGCCAAATCCTTTCTGGGCATCCTGTCCCTGTTACGGCCTTGACACTTTTCTGGAACTTTCACCTGTTGAGAAACATCAACCAGAAATCCCTCCCTCAGTCCCTGGGTGTGTGGGCTGGCAAACAATAAGACAAAATATGAAGTATCTTTTTCTCTCCTTGTGCAGCATCAGGTAGTGAATGTTATAATATCACCTTGGACACCGAAGGTAGCCCCTGCAGTAGCGACTTGGAGGAAACTGTGGGCAAGAGGCTGCTGAGAACCTTGAGTGAGTAGCTCGTCACCCATGTAAAAGCTGCCCACCAGCTGAAGGCTGCAAGGAAGCCCTTTAGAAGAAGGAACCAGTGACTACTGTCGGGAATCCTATAAAGGGACCCTGTTAGCATGGTGGTTAAAGCACTTGGCTGCTAACCAAAAGGCTGGTCGTTTGAACCCACAGCCACTCTGCAGAAAAAAGATGTGGCAATGTGTTTTTGTAAAGATTGTTGTTAGTGCCATCGAGTCGGTTCTGACTCATAGCGACCCTCTCTATAGGGTTTCCAAGGAACAACTGGTAGGTTTGAACCACCAACGTTTTTAACAGTCTAGTGCTTATTCTATGGCGCAACACCCTTCAAAAGCTTATGGGGTCGTTGTGGTCTGTCACAAGGGGTTGCTATAAAGTGGAAGTGACTCGACAACATGTTTGGTTTGGGTTTGAAAGGAGATATAATGGAATCCTGGTGACACAATAGTTAATGTCTTGGACACTCACCAAAAGATTGACAGCTGGAACCCACCCAGCAAATCCCCAGGAAAAAGACAGGTCACTGGATCCTGGAAAGGTGACAGGCTAGAATTCACTGTGGATGGAGCAGGTCTAGTTTGTCACTTGGGGCTGCTATGAATCAAATAGACTTGAGGGCATCTCACAACAAGGAGGTGTCATCATGGGGATCTGTAGTAGAGCTTGGGCCTTTTCAGCGCTCTGGGTAGTTATAGAATCTGCCCCACGCATGGTGATCATCTAGGACAAACAGGTTGTTATTGTTGTTAAGTGCCGTCAAGTCGGTTCCGACCCATAGCGACCCTGAACAGGGTGTCTGAGGCTGTAAATCTTTACGGGAGCAGAAAGCCTCATCTTTCTCCTGCGGAGCCGCTGGTAGTTTTGAACTGCTGACTGTGGGATTAGCAGCCCGACTCATAACCACTATGCTACCAAGAAGATTAGTTCCAGCCAAAGTGTCGAGGGCTTTGTCTGCAGTTCTGCCTCTATTCTGAGGCAAGCATGGAAGAGCACGCTTGTCCTCCCAAATCTTACACATTGACACTTAAAAACTGTTTTTCAGGTGGTCGAAAAAAGAAGAGGTCACCAGATGGGGAGAGAAACTCTGAGGAGAACTCCAATTTAACACCTCTGATCACATGACGGGGCAGAAACAGCGTCCGCTGGGTGTGTGCGAGTGCTGAGCTTTGGGGAGAAGCGCCGTCCATCGCCTGCTTCGCCCTGAGGTGCCCACCGGTGACGGGACATTCCACTTTCCCATCCACCTCTCCACCTTAGCTGTCAGGTCAGCTCATTTCCCCTCTTTGCCTCCAGTTTGACTCAGAGCCTTCCCGTGGCCATAGCAGAAGGACTATCTCCAGTGGAACATGCTAGAAATGGTCTTGCCATTGCACAGTCTGCGACGGGAGAAGAAACGACCCCAAGGCACTGTGGGGTCGCTGATGCCCCTCTTTATTCTTTGGGATTCCCTGATGTCATAGGGGACCTGTGTCCTGAGCGTTGCCATTTCTTCTTGTAGAGCAAAATGATAACTAATGTTCCACAATATATTATGCTTAGCTTACCTCAGAAGGTACCACTGGCAGACAGGCAGATGGAGAGAGGCTGGTGTAGCAGGTGTGAGGTCTAGTTCAGTGGGCCAAGAATTCCTCCAGAACCCAGTACTAGGCCATATTGGTCTAACTGGCTTCCTGTCAGCAACCTGGGGGGTGGACAGTGGGTCTCAGCTGGAATGGAAAGAATATGAATCTGTTTTGGCTCTAGTCAGCAGCCATCGATCCATCAGTAAACCTGCTTGGGAATAGGAGGAGATGCAGGGAGCAGAGACCCAATTGGGAGCCAAAGGTGAAACCAGGTTTTAAGTGCAAATAAAAACAAAAAGAAGAAAGGAAAAGAAACTTACATGAAAAAAATCCTAAGCAAATGTAGCCATGACAAACCAAAGAGTGCCCAGGTCGGCCAGGCGGCAGCAAGCTCTTCAGGGCCTGTGGCCGTGTTCCCGATACAGCAGTGTTGGAAGTCACCTTGCTTTTTCCTCCTTTCCAATCCCCACCCTTACCCCTTATTCCACCATAGCACGTCAGCTAGGTGTACTTGATTCCAAGAGTCTACTACTCAGCCAAAACAAAAAAAGCCAAACCCCTGGACATCTCGCTGATTTCAACTCACAATGACCCTGTGGGATAGAGTAGCATTGCCCTGTAGGGTTTCCAAGGCGTCCTGGTGTGGCGCTGTGGGATAATGTACTGGACCACAAGGTCGGTTTAAACTTCAAGGTCAGCAGTTCAAATTCACCAGTCACTCCTTGGAAACCCTATACAGGGTCGCTATGAGTTGGAATCAACTTGACAGCGCTTTCTCGACTCAACAACAGATCTTTTCAAAACAGACTATCACATTTTTCTCCTGCCAACTTTTCGGTTAGCCCCCTCAGCAAATTAATCACTTCATCACCAGGGCTTCTAAAAACTGACAATCTTTACTATTGTTGTTAAGTGGCCCCTGCTCCCACTCACAGATACCCTGTAAAGGTTTCTCAAGAGCGACTGGTGGGTTTGAACTGCCAACCTTGCAGTTAGCAGTCCAGTTATTGTTAAGTGCCATTCAGTCGGTTCTGACTCATAGCAACCCTGGTATAGGATTTCCGAGGAACGGCTGGTAAGTTTGAACCACCGGCTTTGCAAATCAAACAACCCTGTGGTTCAGCGCTTTTCCTACAGTGCTTATCCTGTTAATGTTTTCATCGGGACGTTGGGAACAATGCAGTTCCAAACATAACCACCAGATGGCAGCATATAACTACTTTCAAGAGTAAAAATTCTGATCAGGAAACTCGTCAGTGTTAAGGGAAAATTTGGCAGTAGAGAGGGGGCTTCAAAAAGTTCATGGAAAATAGACCGAAACGATCATCATGGAATTTTTCCACAAACTTTCTGAAGCCCCCTGGCAAGTGAAGTTTGTCTCTGGGCACCCATCTCCCTTTCTGAACTATCTCCCACCCACTGGGTACCCGCAGTCAGTGATCCAGGGCTGCCTGCTGACTCTCCAAACCTTTCCCTAACTTTTCCCTCCCCACCTCCCCACAACCCTCCAGCCAATAATCATGAGGGAAGGGGACTGATCATTCCTCTGGGTTACTTGCATCTCAAAAGAAAATGCTCACTAACCCATGGGAATCTTTACTCAGGGGTTCTTAACTTGGGGTCCATAGCTGGACTTCACAGGGGCCATGAAACCCCTGAAATTGTATTCAGAGTTTAGTTTTTTTTTGCGTGTTTTCCAGAGGGCTAATGATTTCTTAAGATTCCCAAAGGTCTCAGACCTACAAAGAGTTAATTTAAAAACCACTACTTGAATTAGTGGCCTCAGAGTTTCTGCAGTGCAGAGTGAAGTGGCCCTGGGCAGTGGTAGAAGTGGCCTTCTCAAGTCCTCATCAAATCAATGGGGAAGGCTGGCATCCACCAAGAAGCGGGAGTTGGCAGTGTCTGTTTGGCACACCCAAACAGGGTTGTACAGCCCACACCCACTTGGTATCCCCTTGCCCACCCACTCAGAGCAGGTGTTGCAGACAGGAGGGGATGACGTCTCTCCCAGTCACGTGTCAGTCCCTTCAGCAAGCCCAGCAGTGCAGGCCTCTTGGAGAGCAGTCCACAGCCGCCCCTTCCCAACACCTCTCTCGCCTGGTAAGAATCGGCACATTGTCAGCTCTTTGCTGTGGCTGTCTCAGGTCTAGACCAAGGAATGGTGAGAGTTGAGAAGAGCTTTCCTCCTGCAGTCTTCAAGCTTGGATGGCCGTTGGCCCAGGGGGCTTCCTTGCCAGTCTCCTTCCATTAGCCCCAGGCCTCCAGGCTCAGGCCGCTGCTGTTGCAAAACCCCTAAAGAGAGCCTGTCACCAGTTCCCTTCTTATCCCCTCACCCCCAAAGTTTGTCTTCAGGTTAATAAACAAGTTTGGTGGTTCTTTTGTTTTGTTTTGTTTTTTAAAGAGAGGATTTTAAAATAAAGCTAAATTTATGAAAGCTTAATAAACTGTAAATAATTTTTAAATAAAGTGAAAATGCTGTTCCTGGAATGTGACTGTTTTCTATAAATCTCTGGTTTCATTTGGAATGTAGTCTGGTGTTATCTCACCTGTGGCCCACCTGCCTCTCAAAGCCAGGTGGGAGGCTTGTGGCGTGTTAGAGGACAGGACTGGTATGCTACTTCACGGGCCAGATGGGTACGGTTTTGCAGGTGTGAATGCCAGAAACAGGCAGTAAAAGCTGTACCAGAATCTAGAGTGTGAATCAGAACCAGGAGCAAACACTAAAGTGATCCTGAAAGAGACCGGCATGTGTTATGCCCACTTCCCAAAGTGCTAAAACGTGCCAGGCACCGTGCAGGACACTTTCTGAGTTCTAGGTCTTGGGGTCAGACCCTGCTGAAAGAGGTCAAAATGGCAACCATTTGTGGAAAGCAGAGGAGACCTGGTTTACTCATTACTTTTAAACCAGTGCAGGTGAGAGGGAGTAGCCAGGCAGGTGGGGAGATGTGTGTGGGTGTTTTAATATCATTTGTGGGGAAAGTGGAAATCTGACACCTACTACTTATGCTAATTTCTCATATCAGCAAAGAATGATTATTGGCCAGTGACAAAAATTTTAAGGTTCCTCCTAGGAGCCTTCACTGAGGCTATTAACTCATTAACACTAACAATAACTGAGTAATAACTGTTCAGCCAAGTTTCTAAATTAAAAAAAAAAAATTCCAAAGTGGTAAGTATACATTAGCTTGGTGATTTCCAAAACCAGCTGGAAAGATGGGATGTCGGTCCTGCTATATAGACTATGAAGCAGGCTCTGCGAGTTTGGATGATTTGCCGGAGATTACACAGCCAGGGAGTGGCAGGCAAAAGCTGTGAAACAGCCCTACCTTTGCAATGCTGTGTCTTTGTGTGTGCAGTGAAGTCCTACAGTACAGAAACCTACGGAACTCACCAAGCCCAGCCTTCCCCACATTCACACAGAGCCCTTTTCCCACATGAACACTCATGGAAATGCTGACCAAATACATGGATGAACAGAGCTGCCCGTTACCATGAGTCAAGTCCACCTCACAGTGGGCAGAGAAGACAGGACACAGGGTCTCTACAGCTGTGATCTTTATAGGAGCATACTGGCACATCTTTCTCCCACAGAGCAGCTGGTGGGTTCAAACCACTGGCGTTTTTGATTAGGACCTGAGCGTTTAACCATAATGCCACCAAGGCCCCTTGAAGATTAGAATTCAAGCCAAATTCTCATTGAGATTGGGGATTCTTTTTAAATGCTAAAAGCAATTGAGCACTTTAGTAAGGGCCCTTTGGTTTAAAATACTGTCCAACTTGTTTCACCTATACCTTCTGAAGAAGAAAAATTTTAAAGATTCTTTTTTAACAAGAGAAATTACATATTAAGGAACAGATTTTGTCACATGTGGGTGGGCTTTGACTAATTCAATATGTAAGACTTTTTCATTCCCCAAGAACCAATTTTTGCCTTCTTGGAGATAACAGCATCCCCACTGAGAGTGTTTACAGCTATGATTAGAGAGCACAGAAGACTAACCGAACACAGAATTATTCAATTTCTAGCTTGCTTTTGTCTTTTCTAAGGACAACCATCTTTACATTGGAAAGAAAATCAATATAATAAGAATGGAATCTAGAATGGGAGACCATTATTAGATATGGATTCACTCAACCCCTCAGCAGGGTGGAGGAGGCACCTGTGGGCCAGGAGAGCTCTCTGAGGGACTCCTGGGGACCCACCAGGATGGCGAAGGCTCTGAAACCGTATCCTGTGCAGAAACACAGAAGAATGGAAAAGTAAAACTCTTCCAAGGCCACCAATGAAAAGCCAATAAACTTGCTCTGTGATTTATAAGAGAATAGGGAATAGAAAAATGGAGATCAAATTCTGGGTCAAGGTCAAGATTTTTTTAATTTAGGAACTCCATCAACTGAATACAATGACTCACCAAGCAGACTCTATCACGGCCCATTGGAAAATGATGAGTCAAGGACAGTAAGAGACTATTTCAGTGGGACAGAGAAGCTGGAGCTCATGACTTCTAAGACCCCAATCATTCCCGTAAATGGTTTTAAAACTCAAAGGAGTCAGATCCAGTTCAAATAAGAATGATCTATAAACACTTTTAAACTCCCAGCAGTAGTGCTGTAGTTGTAAACAAGATCCAACCC